ATGACATGGATGACGTTCCACAGATTACCTTTCCTATCTACGGTAATCGTTACGTCACAAAGTTTATGGGAGACAATCCGTATATCAATTTGGTGGAGTCCCCTGGAATAGCTTTCATTGCAACTGCTAGGTTCCCCGGAAAGGCCGCTTTGAACATGGTAATGGCTGTATTGGGTACCGCTCCGTTGATGGTGTTGTCTGCATGCTTTGCTTTCATATCTGGATTTATAATTTGGCTCTTGGTAAGTTAATCAAAGTAAAAAATAGCGTGAACATTTTCCCTGCATCAACGTTACTGAACCAAGTATCCTGATGCATTTTACGCTGCCTTAGTAAACAAAAAGGCTCCGCTGTTATGTGTAATTTGTAGTGAAACGAATGATACGAGATTCGTTGCTTGCAGGATACAAGGTCTAATCCAGATGAATTTCCACCTGGTTTTATGAAAGGTGTTGGTGAGGGATTTTGGTGGTCTTTCGTATCAATGACAACTGTCGGGTAATGTTACATAGTGTGAAAACCGTGTTTTCTTCACTCATTTACTTGTCGTTTTAATAGATCTATCAATGCATTATGTCAAAGCACAGTTGAGGCACATTATTACACAGTAATATATCGTGGACGTTGACCTAGTACGTGTCGAAAAGTTGCATTCTATATACCATGGTTTTTCTCCTGTAAATATTTTCGGTAACTTGTCTTCGCTTTACCTCAAATCGCATTTTTACAAAAACAATAAACATTTTCTCAATGTTGTTAAAAAAATAGGGTTTTTTCCTCAATTCTATCATTGATAACCTTCGGTGATTCATTAGCAATAAAATATTTTAAAAAGAACAATTATCATATTTTTTACCCTCTTTGTTATTTTACAGGTATGGAGATCGATCACCGAGGTCCATTCCAGCCCGTATTTTTGGTATAGTGTGGACTTTAACCGGACTCGTTATTATCGGAATTCTCGTGGGCGCAATCGCCTCTTCGTTAACTTCTGTAAACATGCAAAAGGACATCACTCTGTATGGCACCAGAGTAAGTTCTTACAGATCGGCATTTAAATTTGCATGGGAAGCTTTTGATACCCCAAGTCGACAATTTTAGTGTCCTCTTCAGTATATTAGGGAACCTGCGTATAAGAATGAAACTATACATAATCGTTGATATCGACATAGTTTATTGTCTCTTAATACATAACACCGATACCGCTAATACTGTTATAATAAAAATGAGGGCGACAGCAAACTAGTGCCGACACTCAATACTTGCTAGCATGACTAGTTCCCCATTCTCTTCTTTCCCACCTAGTGCCAAAAAGAGACGACAAATATTCTTTGACCAATATTTTGATTTTTTAGAAAATTAATCATGGGAGACGATAGGCGAGGATGTTCAGTTTTAATTTTAGGGCAGCTCACGTCCCGATAACGATCAAAACAGCTCCAAAACTGCTTTATTTTCTCAAATATCACTTTAGACGAGATAGTTTTTCAAAAGTAGTTGCTCACTGATTAAAAGCCGAACTACTAAGAACATTACGCTTAGAGATATTTCTTAAAATAAATACGTTTCTCAGGTTGGGGCGATACATAATTCTTCGGAATATCGTGTAGGAATACTGAAGAACGCAAAAGTAAACACAGGTAACATCCGATATTATTCCTCTTGTTGATGTTGTTGTTATTGTTTTGACAAAAACATTTGAATTTAATAAAAACATCGTTTTTAATAGGGTTAGATTCATGATTAAGCTTTTTTGCTAGGAAGGGTGCCTGTGACATCCAGGATCTTCCACAATTGGGAGACAGGTGGTACATGGCGACATCAAGCAGGAGGGGACATCCATACGTCGCAATAATGATACAGTGGGGAGGGATAGAATAAGGGGAAGAAAGAAGGCAGTCTTTTAACCACGAGCTTGAAAACACTCACAATTTCCGCAAACGGGAGTGTGTCATAGTCTGAGAGAAAATGAGATCGTGGAACATGCAATGAAACACTGCGAAGTCGCGCTTGATTGTCAAGCCTGAGTTAAATAGCATACAGCTGTGTTAAACTGTTTTGCGTGAAGGATACCAAACATTACATTAACTGCATTTTAAGACGTAAAAAAGTCGCTTATTTAATAACGAACATTATCTGTAACACCTGAATGATGTTACAACTAGTTAGTTTTGTGGTGAAACGGTCGAGAGCAGTCACCAAATGACGGAATGCAAAATATTGACAACTCGACACGGAACAATGTCCACTACAACACACAAAAGCTAACAAACAATGGCTTCTGCAACTCCAGGAGACACTCAAGAAAATTGACTCAACTATTTTTTGATTGCTTAATTTATTATTTGATAATGGTCACCGGTCACCGATTGATTAATTGTTTTATTGATTGATCGCTAAATTTCAGAACATAAGTATACAAATTTATATGAGATCAGAGTGGCATTGGAAGATGGCGAAATAGATGGCGCACTGTTGGACACTTATGTGGCGGCCGAAAACAAAGAGACACTTCTCGACGACAGGGTGTTTGTGAAAGATATTCTGGATTATCCATTTGGTTATGGAGTGGTTCTTTCAGGAGCGGCGAGGAATGTTGAGCAAAGATGCCGTGATTACATAGCCTTACATATCAGCGAGATATACAAAATTGTAGAGAACAAGACAAAGACAGTTGAAGTAAGCTGCGAGTAGTTATCGCTTCTTTTAGCCATTTGTGATCGACCTTAAAATTCCGTGCTAGACCTAACTGTGACTTATTCGCAGAGGGTTTGCTCGCTTTCTGTCGATGTACGTGCAAAGTCTCTCTTCACACACGCAGCAAATTCCCCACCTGCCCCCGCTACCATTAAAATTCACATGGCGAAAACAGGTGCTGTGGCTTTTTTCGCGAGATCAATTGAGACGCGATGCCACTTTTTTTCTCTTAGTTCTTAATAATTTTTCTGTTGTTTCCAGTCATTAAAACATACCCTGAGTAGCCTTCCCACCCATTGCTATAACAACTGGGAACCTATCGATGCGAGAAAATTTGATATGTTACCTCAGGGTACGCCCGTCCGTACAGACTCTTGAGGCATGCATCTTAATCAGTAAAAGAAACTCGACAAGCGACAAGCTTTTCATTAATGTCCATAGGCATCCGATGGCGGTTTAGCTGAGAGTACTGGACTATTTGACCCTGCATCTCAAATGTTTCTTTTGGCGGTCGCTTCTCTGATTGGTCTCTTGGTAATGGCTGTGATTATTGGCCTTTTCTATCAGTGTCTGGTAATCGTTCCCCGAGCAAAGAAAGGTATGATGAACAAAACCTATACCTTCATTTTCACTTTCAAAAGATTTGTTACAGTTCTAAGCCTGAGTTTGCAGCTCTTGGGGTAAGTAAAGCGAGTTAAATCAAAGAGTCCAGGGGTAGTCCGAAGGAAAAGCGGCTCTCTCTTTTCTGTGAAATGTTGGAAACAATTGTCAGCAAAAGAAAATGGTAACAGCTGGGTGTCCCTGACTTTATTTTACAAAGTCAGTATGTACTTAGGAGAGACAGACTAATTTCGGAGCCAAGGTTTTGAAAGGCTATTAGCCTTCTCTGTCAAGTTGTCATATCGGCATAAGACATGCAGAACTCTATCGCCAGTGTAAGTAAAGCGAGGCTAACTTCCACTCGGGTCACATAAAAGTATTTAGCAGACTAACTTTGGAGATAACAAGTTTTTCGTAGAAACGATTTTTTTTTTGGGGGGGGGGGGGTTGGGAGGGGGGCGGTGTTGGTCGATGAAAGAAAAAAAGAGTTAAAGCCGGTGCTTGGAAATAAAATGTTTTTTTTTTTTTTTTAATTTCAGATCAAGAGATGAAAGCATCCTCAACACATTTTGTGTATAAGGAAGTCCTCGTGAAAGAGATGAACGATTTCGTTGATGCTTTCTATTCCAAGCTGTCCAGAAAGATTGATTTGATAACGAATAAGAAGAAAAAGGAATTGAGAGAGATGAATGAACTGAAAAACGACAGACAGCAAGAAGCTCAGCTTTGGAAATCATCCAAAGAAAAAGCAAATTCACCAGGAGACAAGTATATAAAACGAGCTGGTGTGGCATATTTGCCTGACGATTCTCCACAACAACCTATCCTCTGTAATACAGCACAGAGTATTCTCAGTCAGCAAAAGGAGGGATGCCAGTCACAAATTCTATCTTCGATGTATCAGGCTGATGACGCCATAAGTGTTGACAGTGCTTGCGTTTCGATGACATCACCAGATAACTGCTCCCTTCACCTCAGTGACATCAATACAACTCTTTAGTTAAATTCTACTAGTATCCTATCACAAATCGAGCATTCTCATTGGTTAACGTGCATGCTATGTAAATGTGTTAGATAGCACTTATCGGGAAGTCCATAGAAAAAAACTACGGGTAAATAGCCCGATTCAGGAAATGTAGAAGAAGAGTGTACAATAACTCCATGACTATGAAAGTCTTTTTCTATATATATAATTAATCGAAGAAAGGGCAATAATCGATAACATGGAAGACAGAATCAGCTTCACATCATCTACTTGATCTTGTGGAATAGTGCTTTCAAATTTAGAATAGAGTACTTGTCGCCCTTTTTCGACTATCTGCCATTTGTAGAAGCTATCCACCATTTGTAGAAACCACCTGGCAATATTTCCATCAAAAGTTCTGTCAAGAATTCTTGACTTGGTAAAGATAACAAAGTTTTCATGAATTCAACGTGCGAAATTTTTACAGCCAAGCCAGTTCAAGGGTACCCCCCAAGATTGGATTAATGAATTTTATTCGAAATATGAATCCGTTAGTAGTTGTAGATTCATCATTCTCTGCATTCCTGCATGCGTAATGAACAGTGAACTCACACGCGAGGTAGTTATGAAATTTCTAATAATATAATACATAATGGCCTTTACGTGGTGGCTACGCCAGAAAGGGATACCTTTTTCAGGCTTCAGGTATCTGAAAGGGTGGGGATTTCACTAGTTGGAACATATAACAGAGTAGGGAAATCTGTCATTTCGGTTTGTTTTGTCGCCCACTTGGGTCGGTCATATCACTGGCTTCGCGAACGAGCCTTAGAGTTACTGAAAAATTACTCCGCTTACAACTGATAAAAAGAAGTCTTGTTGGTGCGAGACTAAGAGTCAGTTGTATTAAACAAGAAAACCTGAATTCGGATGCGATTTGAAATAGGTAATCTTCGTCAGAGAAGTGCTTACGTGCTTAGTAAAGCCTAAATTTGGAAAATTCTGAAGCTTACACGAAGATGATTGATTGATTGATCGATTGCATGATCGGATTGATTGAACATTCATCCGATCTGAACTGTGGCAAAAAGAGAAATCCAGTCGCTCAAAAGACAGCTATCCCGGTTTGTAACATAGCACATTTTCTTATTGTTTTTTTAAAAAGTCAAACACATGAGTTAACAATACAGTCAAAAAACATATACATTTTTTTTCTTGTATTAACGCAACTGATCTAAATACTTTGCTATACCCGTGGGCCGAGGATTAATAATCCGAACCTAGCAGTAATAACCAGTCAAAATGGAACGTTTTGAACGTTTTCCTTTGCTTGTTGTTGTTGTTGTTGTTTTTATGGTTGTTATTGCTTGTATAGATACAAGCAATTCTTAGTTAATTGACGTGTGCGAAGGGTAACATTTTTAAGCCTGTAGCAAGTCAAATGGTTTGCGACATAGTTTTCGGGAAGGTACGGAAAATATGTGCTGTGTTCTCTGGCGATGCAATTTTGTTAGTCTTTTTAGTCTGTTCAGCAAATTTTTGATATACTTTGTAGCGGCTCGTTGTCCAACCTACCAAATAATAGTTCTATGATTAATTATAGAAAAGACTCCCACTCGGTTAGTTCGTGTTAATGCTAAGCACCCTTGGTGTGGTTCCAAACGCTAACAAAACAACAAATCATGAAGAAGAAGACAGCACAGGTTATCTACGAGATAGAAAAGAAAACAAATATATACCGTAAAAATATAAGCTCCGGGGCTAATTTTCGGAATTTTACGGTATGTAGGGGAAAGTCGTAAGTAGTTCGCCTGGGGAGAAGAGAAGACAATTCAAAATCATTCAGCTTAAAAGTTGATTGTTCTATGTGCTAGGTTGAATCCTTTTTATCAATCGAGCACAATAACGTTACACAGTTTGGAGAAGTAAAGCAAAATCGCGAGTTCATTGTTCGCAACCACCCAAAGCGACCATTGGTGGACACAAAACAATAAAAATAATTTCCAAGAATTCCCGTGAAAAAAAGGAGTTTAGTCTCCAGCGGAGAGAAGGCTTTTTGTTCTTGATTGCTAGCATGGAAATCGATTCGGTACAATATTATTCTGCAAGCCGTTAACAACATAAGGACTCGGAGTTAACTGCTCTGTCCATTCCGGGTGACGAGAAAGGCTGGGAACAACAATTACGTTTGCTGAACAAACGAACGTTCAAACTCCAGAAACTAATGGCTATGATCCTCAGTTAAAACAAGAGTTCAAATTCCGCAGGATTTACTTGGGACACCCAAAGGGCCACCATTATAGGCCACCTAACGAAACAGGAACAAGCTCTATACACATACACTTTTTAACATACCCTCATTTCATATTATCTTTCCCTGTTTAAGCATGTGCAAGTACGCGTGGTTTTTCTCGCCATTTTTTCCTGCCCATTTTGTAGGTTTTCTATTTTCGTATTTATGGCCGTTTTCTTTTATTTTCTGTTCTCTTTCACTAAAATGAAGGCCTAGCTCTTATATTCTGTACCTCACCGCCTAGAAAATGCCAGAAAACATAAAGGAGGACATTCTGGTTAGTAATATTTCAGTTATTCAACTTTAAATGAATAAGGAATTGCATACTTAGTTTTAAAAAATCTATTTTAATAATCAGTGAAAATAAAACAAAACAAAAAAATCAGAAAGAACTTTCGAAACCCCTGTAGAACGCAACAATATGACATTGTTTTCACATGACGTCAAGGCGACCAGTTTACCAAAGGAATGAAACGGCGGCCATGTTGGTGTTCCTGTACGAAAAGATCTGTTTCGTTGCGTAAAAACTATTTTTACTCAAAAGAATTTTCCAAGATGCTGACTTCGTGTCTGAAAGCGATGCGCGCGAATTGGTTAAATGGTTTAGCCCCATGGCCACCAGAGAATAAATCATTCGTCCTCTCTTGCTATTTATTGCTCAGTTTATTTGTTTCTTTATTTAGTTTATTTTTCTTTACTTTTTGATGAATCCTATTGTATTACGAATTAATTAATTTAGCCATTGTCCAAACAAGGCCTCAGTAAAATATGAAGCAGTTCACATGCTATTAGAGAGATTAAGCAACAACATTTTTGAGTGACGGACGTCAACTGGAAGTGGACTTTTTGCATCACTGGAGAGTGGTTTGGCTGAAACTCTCGGGTAAATCGTCTTTATAAGAGGAAAGAAACTTAGCAGTACAAATTTGTTAGAGTCAAGGTATACGAGAAGAGAGAAGGCCTCACCTCCGGTTGAAGTGTGTCGCTCAAAAACGTCTTTGCTTAAGCTCCCTACTATTAATTCTTAGTTACGGTGAGCATTGCATAGCAGGCAATGATGCCTTTGTTTCTAGCGTATTCCTGACCGAAAAGGATCAATTCCCCAATTGCTACCCTATCAGGGAGCTTCACTGGCGACGACGACGACGACAAAGAGAACAATCACAAGGTAATAGGTTAGTTATGAACAAAACATGTCTTTCGATTACATTCCGACCTCGCCGTCCCTGCAAGATTTCGACGGAAGTGCAACTTGCAACGTCTTTTGGAGGACGTATTTAAAACGAAAGCTTTTTTTCTTCCATTTTTTCTAAATTTGGCTTGGTCCCCAATAGTTAAACTTCGGGAAAATTAAACCACATAAAACATACATAAATACATAGTATTACAATGCATGTTTACAGGCCGGTAGCCATTACGATTCCTTCTTTGAAGGAGGACGATGAGGTTATCCGTATATTAAGATCTCTCTTTACAAATAACCCACCCAGCCCAAGAAAGGTTGACCATGCCACCGGACTCTGCGTCGCCAGTAGACGAGTTGTTGTCTGAAAAAACGCAAATTCATTTTAAAAGTTGCGTTTTTGGCCCTCTGCCAAATCATAATAAAATCAACTGTAATGATGAACCAGTAAACAGTAGAATGAAGTTTCAATACAAAGCCTATTCAGCTATACAGATCTCGCTCTTTATTATATTTGAAATTCGCATTCTCTTTTTACGGGCTTTAAAATGGCTCTACAATTGGAAATTACATTTTTGTAACTCCTCCCCTATTTTAGTATTGGCTCAAAACGAGAACTGTTTTCTTTTCCTTGACTTTTTGATATATATTTTAAACAACTAACATCCAATATGAACCCCAAAGCTCTTAAACTGTGACTGTTGACTCTTAAACTCTTCTTAGTGATAAGAACTGTATTTGTTCTATACTGGTTTCTGCATTTCTTTTCTTCCCGCATCTGCGAATTAAGATGCTGTAAGTGTTGCTGTCGTTGCTGTAATCTCTAGCTACGCATACACTACGCATTTGACTCTGTTTCCTCCTTTTTCCAGTCAACTGCCGATGACTTGCAATCGCTGGATATTAAAAGATGCTGGGTGCTACCCAAACTTGAGGAACACCTTGAGTTGCATGCACCTAAGCCCATAGAATTTGGCACTTTAAGCTGATGAGACTGTTCTTGAACATATTTCATCGAGCTGCTTAGTTGGACAATTTCCCTTAGTAGATCAGACTGCTTTTCTTTCGTCCAGGTTGAAGCTGTATCATTACCGCAGACTGACTCTTCCAAATCTTTTTTCCGTTGCTTGGAAGATTTTTCCCCCAACGTCATGAGCTTCAACTCCTTTATCATGTCTCTAATCTCGCGCTTTTGCGTCTTTTTGATGAAACAAATTTTGATCTGCACGTCTCTGTAGAATGAGTACACAAGTTCTTTCATTTCTTTTATCAGGGACTCCTTGTAAGAAAAATGTGACCCAGATTCTTTCAACTTCTCCTCTGAAATAGATAATTCATTTAAATTTATTGAACTTTCTTTAAAAAAGGTTTCCTCAGTGTATCCTTAACAAATTAATTTTCTTTGGAAAAAGAAAAACGTGAAAGCTTGGCTACAAAAGTAAAACATAATTCCATGCAAAGCCCATACTTTTCTTATGCATTTCTCATTATACATTTATAATAATAATAACACGTACTAGCTTTTTGTTCTTGATTGCTAGCATGGAAATCGATTCGGTACAATATTATTCTGCAAGCCGTTAACAACATAAGGACTCGGAGTTAACTGCTCTGTCCATTCCGGGTGACGAGAAAGGCTGGGAACAACAATTACGTTTGCTGAACAAACGAACGTTCAAACTCCAGAAACTAATGGCTATGATCCTCAGTTAAAACAAGAGTTCAAATTCCGCAGGATTTACTTGGGACACCCAAAGGGCCACCATTATAGGCCACCTAACGAAACAGGAACAAGCTCTATACACATACACTTTTTAACATACCCTCATTTCATATTATCTTTCCCTGTTTAAGCATGTGCAAGTACGCGTGGTTTTTCTCGCCATTTTTTCCTGCCCATTTTGTAGGTTTTCTATTTTCGTATTTATGGCCGTTTTCTTTTATTTTCTGTTCTCTTTCACTAAAATGAAGGCCTAGCTCTTATATTCTGTACCTCACCGCCTAGAAAATGCCAGAAAACATAAAGGAGGACATTCTGGTTAGTAATATTTCAGTTATTCAACTTTAAATGAATAAGGAATTGCATACTTAGTTTTAAAAAATCTATTTTAATAATCAGTGAAAATAAAACAAAACAAAAAAATCAGAAAGAACTTTCGAAACCCCTGTAGAACGCAACAATATGACATTGTTTTCACATGACGTCAAGGCGACCAGTTTACCAAAGGAATGAAACGGCGGCCATGTTGGTGTTCCTGTACGAAAAGATCTGTTTCGTTGCGTAAAAACTATTTTTACTCAAAAGAATTTTCCAAGATGCTGACTTCGTGTCTGAAAGCGATGCGCGCGAATTGGTTAAATGGTTTAGCCCCATGGCCACCAGAGAATAAATCATTCGTCCTCTCTTGCTATTTATTGCTCAGTTTATTTGTTTCTTTATTTAGTTTATTTTTCTTTACTTTTTGATGAATCCTATTGTATTACGAATTAATTAATTTAGCCATTGTCCAAACAAGGCCTCAGTAAAATATGAAGCAGTTCACATGCTATTAGAGAGATTAAGCAACAACATTTTTGAGTGACGGACGTCAACTAGAAGTAGACTTTTTGCATCACTGGAGAGTGGTTTGGCTGAAACTCTCGGGTAAATCGTCTTTATAAGAGGAAAGAAACTTAGCAGTACAAATTTGTTAGAGTCAAGGTATACGAGAAGAGAGAAGGCCTCACCTCCGGTTGAAGTGTGTCGCTCAAAAACGTCTTTGCTTAAGCTCCCTACTATTAATTCTTAGTTACGGTGAGCATTGCATAGCAGGCAATGATGCCTTTGTTTCTAGCGTATTCCTGACCGAAAAGGATCAATTCCCCAATTGCTACCCTATCAGGGAGCTTCACTGGCGACGACGACGACGACAAAGAGAACAATCACAAGGTAATAGGTTAGTTATGAACAAAACATGTCTTTCGATTACATTCCGACCTCGCCGTCCCTGCAAGATTTCGACGGAAGTGCAACTTGCAACGTCTTTTGGAGGACGTATTTAAAACGAAAGCTTTTTTTCTTCCATTTTTTCTAAATTTGGCTTGGTCCCCAATAGTTAAACTTCGGGAAAATTAAACCACATAAAACATACATAAATACATAGTATTACAATGCATGTTTACAGGCCGGTAGCCATTACGATTCCTTCTTTGAAGGAGGACGATGAGGTTATCCGTATATTAAGATCTCTCTTTACAAATAACCCACCCAGCCCAAGAAAGGTTGACCATGCCACCGGACTCTGCGTCGCCAGTAGACGAGTTGTTGTCTGAAAAAACGCAAATTCATTTTAAAAGTTGCGTTTTTGGCCCTCTGCCAAATCATAATAAAATCAGCTGTAATGATGAACCAGTAAACAGTAGAATGAAGTTTCAATACAAAACCTATTCAGCTATACAGATCTCGCTCTTTATTATATTTGAAATTCGCATTCTCTTTTTACGGGCTTTAAAATGGCTCTACAATTGGGAATTACATTTTTTGTAACTCCTCCCCTATTTTAGTATTGGCTCAAAACGAGAACTGTTTTCTTTTCCTTGACTTTTTGATATATATTTAAACAACTAACATCCAATATGAACCCCAACGCTCTTAAACTGTGACTGTTGACTCTTAAGCTCTTCTTAGTGATAAGAACTGTATTTGTTCTATACTGGTTTCTGCATTTCTTTTCTTCCCGCATCTGCGAATTAAGATCCTGTAAGTGTTGCTGTCGTTGCTGTAATCTCTAGCTACACATACACTACGCATTTGACTCTGTTTCCTGCATTTTCCAGTCAACTGCCGATGACTTGCAATCGCTGGATATTAAAAGAAGCTGGGTGCTACCCAAACTTGAGGAACACCATGAGTTGCATGCACCTAAGCCCATAGAATTTGGCACTTTAAGCTGATGAGACTGTTCTGGAACATATTTCATCGAGCTGCTTAGTTGGACAATTTCCCTTAGTAGATCAGACTGCTTTTCTTTCGTCCAGGTTGAAGCTGTATCATTACCGCAGACTGACTCTTCCAAATCTTTTTTCCGTTGCTTGGAAGATTTTTCCCCCAACGTCATGAGCTTCAACTCCTTTATCATGTCTCTAATCTCGCGCTTTTGCGTCTTTTTGATGAAACAAATTTTGATCTGCACGTCTCTGTAGAATGAGTACACAAGTTCTTTCATTTCTTTTATCAGGGACTCCTTGTAAGAAAAATGTGACCCAGATTCTTTCAACTTCTCCTCTGAAATAGATAATTCATTTAAATTTATTGAACTTTCTTTAAAAAAGGTTTCCTCAGTGTATCCTTAACAAATTAATTTTCTTTGGAAAAAGAAAAACGTGAAAGCTTGGCTACAAAAGTAAAACATAATTCCATGCAAAGCCCATACTTTTCTTATGCATTTCTCATTATACATTTATAATAATAATAACACGTACTCTTTGGCAGATGGTTCACCTAGCCCGTCATTGTCACATTTTATGCACAAAAAAAGGATAAATGTCGTCAAAAATACCAATTTCAGGTCTGCATGTTTTCTCAAACTAGTTTAAAAGAATTGTGCTATAGTGTAAATTCACTGTGACACGAACGTACGAGGGAGTTAGCTCCTACAGGTCCCAGTCTCCAGTGTCAGTAATCTTATTGTTATTTTGATTTTTTTTCCTTACCTTTGTTTTTGCTAGGAACATAGATGCAAATATGATACCATATGCCCACGGCGACAGTCACTATCAAGGTACCCGCCAGAGAAGCAACTGACATAAGAAACATTTGTGACGAGCCGTCAAACAATCCTGTACTTTCATCAACCTCTGCATCTGGCGAGCGCGCCTATAAAACAACAATAACTTTATCGAAATATTTTCAAATAGTTATTTTAAAAAATTCAAAATATTTCTCCGTTTCCGATTGGTCCAAATTCCTCGGCTAACTTTTCATAACCAATAAGCGCTGACCAAATTTAGAAGAATTTTACGATAACCGTTAAATTCAATGATTTCAGTTGTTTATCAGCTTGTGCCAGAAAAAAGGCACGGCGACCGAGAGGCTTTGGGAGGATGTCATTTGTGTTAGCTCAACTGTTTTTGAAATACTGGAAGAAAAAACGGATTTGCACCCCAATTGTTACAGGCAAATACGTCCCAAAAATGTGCAAAGCTGAGGAGTAAGTCAAGGACAAAGATGGTAAACGCCACGTTTGCCTCCTAATTTACAAGCCCGTGTAAATTAGTACTTAAATGTTCAAACTGATGGGCATATTTAAGTACTAATTAATTAGTACTAATTGCAACATAGTTTTGAAAAAAAATCAAACAAACAAACAAACAAAAAACAAAACAGCTGAGCCACTGCCTTGCGTGAAAAACAGCAAGAACCGCGAAAATGCAATCTGTCGAGGAACAGAAGACGGGATGGGAACTTAAAGTAAGCATGTTTTTAAATTAAGAATTACTTCGAATAATAAGACTGCACAATTATTGGAATTCGCGAAAAAAAAAAAAAAATAATGTATCCACTTTGAAGTGGTGGCCATAAAAAAATCCAGGCCTTTAGTTTTAGTTTGCTTGCATTATGAGTCATAGGAAAGTACCCGACAGATTGAATATCTCTATACTAAAGACGCATTATACTCAAGGAACGAAGAAGCAAGACTTTGATCAAACGTAATCGTAAGAAAAGGGACAACAAGCAAAATGTGCTTGCGGATGGCTTTAACTTTCAGTAACATGCATTTATAGTTCGTCAAACAGTAATAATTGTTCTGATTATTCATCATGACTCGCTATCTCATTATCGTTTCTGGTCATCTGCTGTTCTTTTATATAATTTTTGGGGAGTGTATGCATATTTTTTATTTTTTATTTATTTATTTATTTATTTTTTTTCGGGGGAAGGGGGTTTTGTGCTCCCACACATCAGGCGTTGGAGTAGGCGATAGCAATCAATCCCTAATTAACTTACATCTAATGTCTTTGTAGTATTCTGGATAATTTGAAATATATCTGTGATTTTCATGTTGATGTAATCCCGGCATCTCAGTTCTACATTCCTTGCAGCTCCTGACAACACAACCCCATAACCAAATGGCCGATCGAGTATTTTTTTGACAAAAATTCTGTCACTTAGAAGAGATTCTTTATGCTCAGCGATGACGTAAGTGTCAATCAAGGCTCCTTGGATTTCCCCATCTTCCAATGCCATTCGAATATCATCCATATTGCTATACTGGCGTTCTGCAGAGCAATAGTAAATTGAATCCATTAGTATCCGACAAGTATTTCATGGCAAGACAGAGAAAAAAACTATTGATATTGTTGTATAATATTTAGAATAATATACATTTATGATATCAATAATCATCATTATAATACTAATCATATCAATTCTTAGCAATTGAGTGCTTATACCGTATAGGTACGGTGTTCTTAAAATTTCTGCCGCTTTGAAACACCTGTGAAGGAATTTTCGAATGAGCGGGTAGCAACATAATGCGATTTAATAGGTGTCTCAGAACTAAAAGATCGATCGCCATACGGTTTCAGGCATAAATCTCGGTATTTAATTTGTGATGTTTACGTTCTGGAAGCCAGTGAAGTTCAGAAAGAAAAGGAGTTTAATGGTCTTACTTTGCTTTAGTTCCGGTTCAAACAGTATAGAAAGTTTATATTTCTAAACGTCCGTAAATCAACCTTATCATCATGCTTTGTTAATTCTCCGTTCATTTTTTTAACATACCCTAGCTGTTTGCAGTCATAATTTCTAGCCGGCACACTGACAGCGGCACAGCGACTATATACTTACTTGTATTAACTTTTGCGTTGTGAAGTACACCCAGTCGATATTCTGCAGAGCCCCGTAACGCCCCTATCTAAAATTTGACCCAAAACAAAAGGTTATCGTTCGTTCATGTCAAGATTACAGAGACAGCAATAATAAGATATTAATTAAGGTTAAAGGAGAAACAAAAAATTTGTATATGCTAGTTTTTTGTCATCTGAGAAAATTTCAACGTCTTTGATTGTCTTTGTATTTCAGTGTTTTTTATGCATATAGTATCACTTGTGCTAATGGTGTGGATGGTGCTAGAAGGGACCTAGGGATAGTTAAATGGATAAGAAAGGGCTATGCAAGCTATGCATCTCAGCCCTGTTAAACCTTCGAGGACGGCTTTGGTCACTTTCGTTCCATATGGAACGATGCATATGATTATTCGAGCCTTCCTGGACCCGTTTAGCTATCAGTTTAAGATATTAATTAAGCAACGATATATCTGTCCACTGGTAACTCATTTTGGAAATACTAGACAATCGTTAAAGAGTTAGATACAAAAAATCCATAGTAACATTTCGGGGAAAAATCTAATGCCAATTTTGCTATTCAATAACTACGCTCTGCAAATTAAATTGGTCCCTTTCCTGGAAAGTTAGCCAGCCACAATTCCATGAGAAAAATGCAATAAAGTGGGAGACAAAACTGTCTGTAAAAAAGGCAAGTGAAATAGAGATCGAGAAAGAAAGTTTGAAATAGATTCGAAAATTGGCATATGGCACAATCTTGGCATATGCGCATGCTCCAGAACGAGGTTTTAGTTTAAAAAGTTGGTTTTCCCTATTCGCAAGTGGTCGCCAAAGGGTTTGCTATGATGAGAAGACTGATGTTGCTCATCCCCCTTGCTCCGAGATGTTCTCCTCCTTCCTAGTAAACCAACATTTCCAAAACACCTCAGACGAAGGGCCACTCGANTCAAGATTACAGAGACAGCAATAATAAGATATTAATTAAGGTTAAAGGAGAAACAAAAAATTTGTATATGCTAGTTTTTTGTCATCTGAGAAAATTTCAACGTCTTTGATTGTCTTTGTATTTCAGTGTTTCTTATGCATATAGTATCACTTGTGCTAATGGTGTGGATGGTGCTAGAAGGGACCTAGGGATAGTTAAATGGATAAGAAAGGGCTATGCAAGCTATGCGTCTCAGCCCTGTTAAACCTTCGAGGACGGCTTTGGTCACTTTCGTTCCATATGGAACGATGCATATGATTAGTCAAGCCTTCCTGGACCCGTTTAGCTTTCAGTTTAAGATATTAATTAAGCAACGATATATCTGTCCACTGGTAACTCATTTTGGAAATACTAGACAATCGTTAAAGAGTTAGATACAAAAAATCCATAGTAACATTTCGGGGAAAAATCTAATGCCAATTTTGCTATTCAATAACTACGCTCTGCAAATTAAATTGGTCCCTTTCCTGGAAAGTTAGCCAGCCACAATTCCATGAGAAAAATGCAATAAAGTGGGAGACAAAACTGTCTGTAAAAAAGGCAAGTGAAATAGAGATCGAGAAAGAAAGTTTGAAATAGATTCGAAAATTGGCATATGGCACAATCTTGGCATATGCGCATGCTCCAGAACGAGGTTTTAGTTTAAAAAGTTGGTTTTCCCTATTCGCAAGTGGTCGCCAAAGGGTTTGCTATGATGAGAAGACTGATGTTGCTCATCCCCCTTGCTCCGAGATGTTCTCCTCCTTCCTAGTAAACCAACATTTCCAAAACACCTCAGACGAAGGGCCACTCGAAACAATGTTGTACTTCATATTATTTATCTTTATCTATTCATTCTTTTTTATTTATATTGTTTTCATATAGATTTACCTCTGTACCATACAGAATGACGTCCCTTTCTACAGTAACGCTTGTGAGTGACGAAGCAATTGCACCAATTAGAATGGAGATAATAACAAGGCCCGTTAATGTCCACATTATACCAAAAATGCGCCCGATGATAGACTTGGGCGCTCGATCACCATACCTATCAACAAATAGAAGAAAATATGGTACTTCACGCTTAGCATAATTATTTATTTATTTATTTTTAGGTAAAGATGTTTATTCATGTGACGTTGTTTTGTTTCGTTGTGTGTTTTTGGTGATACTTACTCCTTTTGTCGCCAAAACAGGCCCCAAATAATGTATCACCTATTCCATTATACTTGTCATAACACGAAAAAGGGAATCCAATCTCAAGGAAACAAAATTACTTCGGCTTTAGTTTCAATTTTTTGCATTTGCATTTATTTGTTTTTGTGTTTTCTGTTGAGACCAGTAACACAGCGGGGGCAAACCATGCGGCCCAAAGGGATCATAAAGAGTGGTAAAATTGGTTAATTGAAAATCACTTTGTCGGCTTCAAATCTTTCTATGCCAAACTTGGCCTGCGAATATAGAATATTGGACCAATTAAATTTGCATTTATTTTGACACAAAATGAAAAATTACGACGTCACATTTTTTGACGTCATTCATGCGCAATTTTTTAAACTTTTGAATTTTCTAAGGTTTTATACGCCATTTTTAAGAGAACTATTCAAGGGAATATAAAAGCTGAATTAAAGATCTGTTACGCTTAAATTCAGAATTATTTTACAAGGGAGCACCCTGTTTTTGAGGTACGAATTTGTTAAAATTGAAACTGTCATTTGTCAGCTGATATTTGAGATGTGAAAAAAAAATTCAAAAGCTAAAGAAAAAAGAAAATTTTGAAAAAGGAAATTCCTGACTGCGGAAAAACCGCAAGAAAACTGTTTTGTGACGTAATAAAATGTCACGTGATCATTCTTTGGTTTGTTTAAACAAGCGTTTGTAATTCAAGAAACGAAAACTATTAGACGCTCACTATTAGACGAACAGCTTAAGTTTTTTTAACAATGCAATTGTTGATACCTACCCTACAGTTGTCATGGAAATGTAAGACCACCAGAAACCTTCGCCAACTCCCTTCAAGAAACTGAGCGGAAATTCTTCAGGGTTAAATTTTGAGTCCTGCGGTAAAAATAAAAGCAGCAAGCATCAAAGAGCACAATGCAGACAATATCTTGAGACGATTTCTGTTCTTTAGTCTTAAAACGGGTTATGTCAAGATAATTTTTATTTTATATGTTGAATGGAAATTTATTGCTGTTATCCGTTTTCCTCCCCTTTGTGGTGGTGGCGGTGGAGGGAAAAAAATTGTGATGGTTGTGGTGGTGGTTGTAATGGCGGCGAGATACTAGGGAAATGTGGTAAGGTGGTGGAGGAACAACACCTGAAATGGTGGTGGCGGTGCTGGTGTTGGAAGTTTTGGCGTGGGAATTAAAAAAAAAAATGAGGAGAATTGAAATAACTGATTTGTATTTAGGGTTAGTAAGAGCTACAATTAGTATAAAATTTGTTGACACATCCCAACGAAAAACGGCCTTCCCCATCTCCTTAGCTCTCTCCTGCTAGCAACTTCGACAAGGGAAGGAAGGGGTATACCAAGCACAAGATCATGGGCAGAACATATAAGCTCAGTCAGGGACAGTGTCTTAAAATATTTTTGCAACTTATAGCAGTTTTTCTTTGCCCTCTTTAGTATGCATGAATTGCCCGCCAAGAATCAGTGAAACGGAAATGGGACAATTTTAAAGCTTGTATGTAACAGGTAATGGAAGGAACAGGGAATAGAGTTTTCCTTATTCAGTTACGGCTCATCGATTTTGAGTCACATCAGGTGATTTTTTTTTTCAAAAACCAAGACATCCATTGACCTAAAAATGGCTAAAAGACCTGTAAAACATGTTAAATCTTATAATATAGCACGTGACTGAGATTACAAGAATTCAAAACCATTTCATTCATGACATAAAGACAAAAGGCCCTAACACTATTGGCGGTAATGTATTCCTTTTTAAAGTAATGAGATTCTAATTATTTCACCCAAGTTTTGTGGGGAGGAAGTGAGCTTCAGTTGCTTCCACCAGTATTTTGGAAGGTCTTCCTTCCCTCCCGAAGAGGACTTGGTTTGTGGTACGTCTAAGGTGCCTTAATATTCCGTAGGTTCCTGTTTTGGCCCTTCCAATTACGTAACCTTCTGATTGCTAAGGACAGTTTTAACACTGTACAGCCTGAAATAAATCTCTTCATGCAATCAAGATGAGGTATCTTTTTCACCATTTTGGTAGCAAATAATTTTTGAGACTTACCAAAAACCATACGATAAATCCGGCCATGAAGGCCATGCATGCTGACAACACAATCAAAGGCACCGTTTGCAGTACTGCCCTTATCATGTTCATAGCTGCTCCACCTGGGGGCCTACTAGCAACAAGGAATGCTACCCCGGGTGATTCCACAATATTGATGTAAGCGTAGTCACCCAAGTATGTGGTGATGTATTTGTTGCCGTATATTGGAAAACTTATTTCTGGGACATCATCGATGTCTTTAAGGACTTCTAACACATCTTCCTTAGTAGAAAGTCCGTTCTTCCCGTTGGTAGAGATCTCGATTATGGTGTCGCCGTGCGCGGGACAAATTCCGCAAGCAGTGTGAACCATTTCAGTGATAATCCCGCTAAATATTCCCTCGAGTTTGTTATCTTTTTTGTTAAACGTAAGGTATGGTGATGTTGCCCAGAAGTTTGTGAAGAGTATTTTTGGACAACGGCAGGTTTCTTTTAATGGGAAGCAAAAAGAAAGAAAAGTATAAAGTCAGTGTGATTAAAAGATATTGGGCATTTCATTGACAATGAATTATAGTTTGATTTTTGATAGAGAAAAGGGGATAAAGAAACTCCGTAATGAGGTATACTTTATACTTAGCGGACTTGATGCTTTAAGCTTTTTAATTCTACACGACTTCTACTTTTATTTGGCAATTGGAAAATTGTGCTAAAATGCTTTTATATTTAGACAAATGCTGCTCTTAAGGTCGAAAACATGTTGTTTCAAAATACATCATAAGTTACAATAAGATAAGGCACAAATATATGAGGCAAAAAAGGAGAACTTTTGCAGTAGTTGCTGTGAAAATAAGGAAGCGTACAGTACAGTGCTGTAATCTTGCAACAAACGTCTTAATATAGTTAAAGGTGAAAGCTTCTACACGCTCACCAGCTAGCACGTATTCACTGTAAGGTCCCAGTCCCTTTGGTGTAAAGGCAGCCACTCGGATTCGGTAGGTAGAATACGTTTTAACTTGTAGGACAGTGGAAAGCTCGTCTGGCTTAAAAGTCAGTGTATCTTCCTCTATATCTTCCAATACTCTCTCAGCCGTCCTGATTCTTTGATATTTCAGAGAATAACCAAGAAGAGGGCCGTTGACATGGCCACCAAGGACTGGACTCCAGTTAACATTAATTGATTTTTCGGATGTTAGGTTTTGCGCTAAGACATTCTGCGGTGGTCTGGTGGGGACTTAAAAGAGAAGGAAACAACTTTTTTAAGACAACGTTGACTGATTTTGTTCCTAAAAAGCGTTCATTGGAAGCCTAACCAAAAGCGACAACGATGGAGAGGAGAATATCGCAAAAGTAATAGGCTTGAACAAGCCAAAAAGTTGTGAACTTACAACACACTTTTTGGTACATCTCTTTCCCGACACTGCGCGACTACGACGTGAATTGTCCTCACCGCGACGTTTTCTATTGGGTGTTAACACGCGACCAAGAATTTGTCTTTTCTCTTTCTGGGGTACAGAAGTTACGAATTAGGCGCAATTCGATGTTTGCCTACATTCAGCAAGTTGAACTACGTGGTACAATCGCTGGGACGTTTGAAAGCAAGATTTTCGTGGTACAAATCGATTCGGGAAGCTTACCATCATCCCACGTGTAAGATATAGCGTGATATTCTTTTCCACAACCTTTCGATGTCTTCGCACAAACCACTATCTTGTACTTTGAGTAGTACCAAAGACCACTTAAAATTATTTTACGGACATTTGGATGCACGTGTCTTGATTCCCAGAGCAGTGGTAACCCATCATCCTTAGCAAACCTGACCTCATATCCCAGGAGTATACCATGTACATAGGCTTGATCAATTGGTTGCCAGGAAACATCAATCGTTGTGGAACTTGTGGACTGGACAATAATGTTTGGTGGTGTCTGACTAGGAACTAGTGAAAAGAAAAAAAGCAAAGAGGAAAGGAAAAACTCTTTCCTTTCTATCTTATTTCTGAAGCCTGAGCGCTTCTGGTAGTCGTACTCAGGCCTTGCCAGCTTAAAGATTTTCAGGAGGCCCTGGGAAGAAGAGTGCACATGAATGAAGACCAGGGAGGACCCAGAGCTCTGCCTAGGAGCTTACACTATAGGGAAACGGAACATCTGTATATTAAGTAAAAGAGTGATGTTATTTCCGAGTCACCCATTTTGTTAATTCCTTTGAGTTACCGTTTTTGATCTTGACTAATTCCTGTCAATTTTATCCTGCTAGACCACAATTCTGTGGGAACTGAGGAACGAAGAATTTAGGCATACAATGATATCTGGTAATTTGCAGCAAATTAACACATAAACCTTTTTTTTCGCGGCATCTCCGAGGGAATCTACCTCCTCCGTCAGCCGCCTCTACCCCTCATCCGTGTTTTTTTTTGTTTTGTTTTGTTTTTTGTTTTTTTTTGGGAACCCGTGACAACAATTGTTCATAAAAAAGGGTTCGTATCCCTGAAATTTAGCCTAAAACTTACCGTCCTCCTGTGTTCGTACTGCGACAGCTTGACTTGGTATACCATTACCATTGCTAGTAAACGCATAAATGCGTATTATGTAATCTGTAAACTTCTCTAGATCTTCTACAACTGCTTCAAGGGGCATTGGTAACACTGATTTCATGGATTCTACCCGAAAATTTCCGCTTCTTTTCTTGTAGACTATAATATAGCCTAAAAGTGGCATCGAATAGAGCTCTGTAACCTCTGTCCATCTCAGTTCTATAGATGTGGACGTGTTGCTGATTGCTTCCAATATTACAGGTGGCTCGCCGGGTACTTTTAATAAAAATAAAGAGTAAAGTCATCCTTCGCTGAAATCCTAGTCAACTAAGGTAACTATTATCCTAATTGAATACTTTCTATACTCAGGCATTCTGGCTATTCACTTTACTACTCTTTTAGAGTTTTCCCTACAGTTAAATTTGCTTTGTACAGCACAATTATCAATACCAAATTAAAGGAGATTACGACTCAATAGCTTAAATTACGTACAACTGATGATGTACTCGGGATTTTAAAGCATCTTTTTAAAGTAAAACTAAAGGAATCAGAGGAAATCGTCACTTAGAAGCTAGCTATCTAAACCAACCAAATTAACTCATGAATATTAACCTTGTCTTGTACATTTTCCCTAGAGATTTAGCATTATTTGCTGGATTAAGCAAAGAAATGGCAAATTTATATCGATGACCAAAATTTGAAAATACTTCTAACTGCCAAAAGCAGCACAAGCAAACTCATGTAGCTGGGTGTTTAGCAAGTATACAAGGGATGAATAAGACACAACCCATTTGATTTCAACTCGGTGATACTCGCAATATCCTTACCATAACTGCTAGAAAGGTTAAGTAATTCTGCTGGAGTAGTGCCCAGTGTTCCTCCAGCCAGCTCTTCCTGTAAAGAGATGAGCTGTAGTGCATCTATAGCAAGAAAGCTCACGTTTATGCTGGCGATAATGCTTCCTTCGCTGAATTCGAGTAATAAAAACATTGTAAGAAAAGAATGAGACATAAGTATCACAAACGTGGATTAATTAAGGAAAAAATCTTGTCTCCCTGACGGGATTAAAATTAGCCTGAGTATCAGGCCTAATCCCTCTTTTTCCTTTTATCTTCTTCATAATCCTTGGCAGTAAAAGAGATCGCGTGCTGTCATGTCACAAGTATGAGGTAACTTGTTCACATTATGAGAACAATTACTCCTTTTTTTTGAGTGGCTCACCTTTTAATTAAGTTATCATTTATGGTTTAAGTTTTTTGTTTGTTTCATTTATCTTTTGAAAAGGCGTTTTGTCCGTGTATACACATCAGAACACGGATTTCAATGACTAACCCGAGATCAAACAGTAAAACATCGAAGGGTCGTGTTAGACGGTTTAAAATTGCTTAGAGGGAATACTTTGAGGCCTTAAAGACAGAACTTTTAAAGAGACTCAGTCAAGGGGTTATTCAGGTTGGAATTCAACTGGTCTGCTCCACTTCGTTGGGGTACCTTCTGTTAATATAGGCTGTGATTCGAGGTGTTGCAGTTTTTCCAAATTTTATAGTTTTAAATCTATCCACAAGACTTCCAACTGGGTGGGTTTCGTAAATGGTAAGCACCCAAACCTTTTGGTGACCGATTTGAAGGGAAAAAGCACAATGTTAAGAATAAACCCCCGGATACTTGTATATGTGGACAGACAAAACTAAAAGGATCTCCAGCAGGGAACGCGTGGCCCAGAAGACCTTAGAAATCAGAGAGAAAGGAATATCATTCTGTTTAAAATTTCATACATGTGGAGGGTACCTTTAAAAATATTTACCTCAGATTCAATACTTTAACATCCATGACATTTTCACCTTTTGAGTGGTAGAACTCTCTTAGCTGACAAAAAAGTGAGAAATATAAAATTTTTGTCAAATAAATTTTCAGACCGAGCTTTTTTTACTTCTTGGGGCTATGGGCCCTAACTTCAAAACAGGTCTTGATACGGCAGCCAAAAATTACTCATAGAGTAATGAAATCATCATTTCCAAACATCTAGGCATAACTTGATTGACAAGATAACGTATTTTTACGTCATTACGACTACACAGTGTGGAACTTAGACAGAAGACAAATTGCATGAAATTTCTAACCTCAAAGCGAAAAATACTTAGATAGTACATGGCGTCTGACAAAATAAATCAATCTTTAACACTAGCGCTAATGTGACGATGACGTCATTTATTATCAAGGAAGGACCTGGAGCCACTGATCTAGAACCCGGTCTGAATACTTCAAAAAGTAATTATCAGCAACAGCAGTGTCAGCACTACCTTTCGTAATGCGTCGTTCAGGACGTATTGCGAAGGAAAGTTCGTCTAGACACATAATGCGTCTTGAGCCCGTCTTTATACTTGAGACGCATAACCAGACGAACTACAAATGTTTGCCCAAATTCGTCCAGACGGATAATGCGTCCTCTAGTATAAAAACGGCCATTCCCAGTCCAGTCATTCCTGTCGGGGATTAAGGAAGGGGGGTAGTTGAAATCATGACTTTGAAGGGGCTCGGACTTAATTGAAAGAGGGAGAAAAATCATAAATATAAAGAGTGTGATGGTTTTATAGGCACATTAATTAATATGGTCTAAGTATCAGTAAAAAGGTTTGGAGCGGAGTCATCAAACAATTTTATGATTACAACATTTACCATTCCTTCAGTCTCATTAGCACATTCTACGTAGCTTTTGCTGCTGTGATTGGCCATTGTTTCTTTCCATTCCTTCGTTGGAAACCTTATCTTGCAGTTTATATTATCAGCTGAAAGTAAAACACCTCGTTGTTAGTGTAAAAAGGCAATTGTTTAATTCCACAGAGTATAAAGGAGACATTGGACACAAAGGTTTAAGGACCCAGCTTGAACGTAATTTCATGAGACTTCCCCACTGGCATAGGTCTCTTTCCCCTGGTGCCGTCAACTCCATTTATTGCGGACACTGTAGGGACCTAGATTTAGTGTCCTCATTAGCGAGAGTCCATAATAGCGAGAGTTTATTTAAGTCAAACATCTGTGATTTGTTTCTGCCGGGTATTTATCTGCTGACAGTGTTGTCAGGGTTTCAGTTATAGCGGGATGTCCGCAAGGCGAGAGTTGACTGTATTCCGCCCTCTAGATACCTGAATTCTTGGCGTTCCATTTCGCACCACAGTCTCAACTATCTGAAAGTCTTGACCTTAAAATCTCGATTTCCCATGAATTTAATTTCGTAGACTTGGACGACTCTGTAGAGATGACCAAAACATTCCCTAGAATTCAGACGAATGGTGCTTTAACTCGGCTACTTCGACTCTGTTACCACACGTCGCGCTATACAAATAGATCAACAAATAGAATCACACCAGCTCGACACTTCAATCTCGCAAAACATTCCAACTTTCAAACCAAAATGACTAGGAATCTGCGATCTTTCTTTTCCTCGTCACAAAGGTAATATAGAAAGCCACTTTAAAAATCTTAATTGTAGAACAAAACTTGAACCATTGTCGGTTAACTGATCAAAACACCATTATTATTTACCTTACCGCGTTTCTGCCAGCATATAAATCAAACACAAGGAACTATACTCTGATTAGCTCTGACAAAGCAGTGGGGTTAACGCTTAAAATTTGAGTTTCTCAATGTCTCTACGAAAAAAAACTTCCTTGTCAATTCAGTTTATAAAATCAAATCTTTATGTTTAAACTGGCCATGTAATAGGCGGTTTTATAGTTAGGGGGCGGGCCTCTGAACCCCCTACCCATCTCCGCCCGTTCTCTTGGAGGGATTCCAAAACCCAGTTAAAAAGAAAAGTAGGTGTCCAATTAATAGGAGATTTACTTTTCCTAATTCGAAAACAATATAGCATTGAACTTAACAGACCTGGACAAGGATTAGGGTTGCAAGATTGGCTCTCTGTTGCTGAACCCTCACAGTCTCTCCCACCATTAGCTGGCTCAGGATTGTTACACAGTCGTTTTCTTATCTTGGATCCCCCATTGCATGGCTTGTTACAGTTTGGCCATGACGACCAACTGCTCCAGTTACCGTGAACTATAACGATAGTCATAACACTTCAAGAATACTTTATGCCAGGAGGTGAGTAAATAACAGATATCCCATAGCTAAACTAGGCCTCCCAAAGGGCTTTCGGGGGGAACAAGCGAAAATATTCATTAACTTAACGGATCAATGGCTATTTGGTTTTGAGAACAGAAGAACTCAGCTATTTTGTTCGAGGGGGGGAGGGGGAGGAGAAGAATGGATGGATCGATGGATGGACGCATGCATGCTAAATGCATGGATATGGATGTATAGATGGATGCATGGATGTATGCATTGATTTATGCATGGATGAATGCATGGATGGGTGCATGGATGCATGGATAGATGCATGGAGCGGTGGATGGACGGATGGATGTATGAATGGATGGATGCATAGTATGCATGCATACATGCATGGATAGATGGACGGATGGATGTGTGGATGGGTGGATTGTTGGCTGGGTTGATGGATAGATGGGTGGATACATGGACGGATGGATGGGTGGATAAATGAATGGATTTTTTGGATGGATGCATGGTTGGATGGATGCATGGATAGGTTGATGGATGCAAGGATAGATGGATGGATGGCTGAATGGATGGATGGATGCATCCGTGCATGCATGCGTAGATGGATGGATCGATGAGTGGATGACGGATGGATGGATGGATGGATGGATGGATGGATGGATGGATAGATGGATAAATGGATGGGTGAGTGGGTATGTGGATGGGTAGATGGTGAAGGAAGAGACGAATCGGGAAGGTAAAAAAGAATACTCCTTTTGACTGCGAGTTACCTAGTGGGTAAACTGATGAGGTCTGTTGAAGTGGAGAAGCAAGTAATGTCGTTGACGGTTGTGACGTCATTAATGGCTGCCACGGAGATAATGTGGCTAGCGATTTTGCCAGCGTTAGAGTTGAATTGAGAAATGATTGGAATAGCTGATTCGGAAGGGACAGTGTAGCATTCTGATGTTCTGACAATGTCTGAACCGAAAGTGATGATTTTATGTTTTGAAGATGTGATGATAAAACTGAAACTAACGGCTGCACTGTAAGAAACGTAGCTTTTGGTTGAAGTTGAGGTTGTGATAGTGAAATTGAAGTTAGTGTTAGAGCCGTAAGATGGAACGCAGTTGGTCGGTATGTTAATAATTTCAGTAATTGCGACAGCTGATTTGGTGGAGGTGAAGCTTGTGAAGCAGTTGATACGGACTGGACAGCTATGTTTATTGAAAGAAAAAAAAAAGATTTAAAATTAATCACAAAGACATCAAGATTAATCAAGTAATGACTTTGTTACTGTCATTGTGCAGGTTTTGGCTATTTTACGTCAGCCTTGGATTAGTAGGGTAATTCAAATTTGAGGCTGGCTATTTCTTGGGCAAGTGATTTTATTAATACATACGGCTATGTTAGCCTGACACTAAAGGAAGCCTCACCAAAATTTTGATACGATTGTGTTGTTTGAAAGTATTACTCAGGAGTCTTTAGTCCTCGTTTGAAACTCGTGCCTGACTATAAATGACACTTACACAGCAAAGGGTCTTTGCTTGGGCCGGTTTTTGGAACATAAGCCATGATCGCAAAAAAAACATTCAATAATAGGGAACTTAAGAACCACGAGGAAGTTCACGACGATGACGTCTGTTGGCTGGGAAAAGACTGGAACGAGGACGTCAGTTTCGGCGAGAAAAAGGAAACTTAAGATGCAGTCAGTCGGTAGGTCGACGACGACGACACTGAATGTAAAGTAAATGTAAAACAGTGATGTTCGTTCGCAAAAAAGTTTTTCGTAATGGCGGCTTTTAAAACAATGCAAGATCTTATTTTTTAAGCCGTACGTTTTTGCGTTGTCTGACCTTTTCGAGTGGAAAAACACCTACTTTCCGTACGAAGTTATTCAACTTTCAACTTGAATGAGATGACCGAGTCTGAGTGTCTGTCAGAGTTTAGATTTCGAAAAAGTCACATTCTGATGTGATAGCTGTTTTCCATATTAGGTTTATTTCTTCTATATTAAATATATATGATTTGCCTTACGTGCAAATAAATTTATCTTTTTACCTTTGAAATGTCGCTCATAAGTATATTTGAACAGAATAGATGAATTAAAACTTGGCATTGTGATATGTTGTGATCGATCCAAATTTAAATAAAAATCTCACAAAAAACAATGTTCCCTCAAGCGTTCATGATGCGGTGCGTGATTTTAGCTTCTTAGCTGACTAGGACTTTCAAGAGGAATGAGATTTGCTTTACTTCCCCATCTTCCAATGTCTTCATTTGCGAGGAGCTGCACAGGAAACCTTTTCACTGAATTAGCGAGTTGACCCAGAAACAAATAAAGCTCTACATTTTTTCACAGATGAGATAGCATTTGAAACTTTTGACGATTCCTTTCAAACCCATTGACTCTATAGTCGGTTGAAAAAACGATTGAAACTATCATGATCTGCAACGTTTGAAAATTCTGTAAAAGTCTAACTTTTGCGCATATATTGTTTACTGCTTTACGCACATTTTCACACTTGAACTAGTGAACCGTCAATCAAAATTACCGATTTATTTTTAATGATTCTCTTTCTGATTCCGTTGAGATCACTTCGAGTGTATGTACTAAAACAACTATTCCTTTTCGTCTCCTTGAATAGTGGCGTTAGTAATTTTTACCTCGCCACCATTCACCTCGATTTCAAGGAATAATTAATCAGATAGCTTGAAAAGCTAAGAGAATTGAGCATGTATATACCAGTTAATTAAATATCCTTACCAGTAGTGCTGTATATATCCGCTCTTAAGCAGTTCCAAATATGCTGACTTATTGAGTGAAATTTAATGCATTTTGCAGACGCTGACACACGGATTTAACGTTACTGAATCTGTGAGCCCGCAAATTAAAAATTACACAGCTTGTAACGCAGAATTACATTCAAATCCTAGACGTATAATAATAATAATAATAATAATAATAATAATAATAATATTTGTTTATTTCCACCATTCGCAGATTTCTCTGAATTACAGGTAGGGTCAGGCAAAGCACTTACAAACATACAATTATACATATAAATATATAAATATAAAAACATAAATATAATAAAGTAGTAATATGGTAGAAATCGCATACACATTATTACACACAATCGATATACGGCGAATATTTAACTGACACGATTTCTGAGAACCGGTCAGTTCGGCCGGGTAACACATGGCATGATGGTCCTGACCTCAGTGAATACGAGGTTTTCGACGAGATGACCCTGCTGGATATTAGGCGGTAAAGCGGGCTAGCGTGCATAGTTTCCGTCACAAATTTCTTGCACGCCAGGTGGCGTCTGGCCTCTAGAGACAGAAGCCCGGCACGCGCGAGGGTGTCCTCGTAGCTCAAGTCAGGACCAAAGATGATTCGTAGGGCTCTCTTTTGCACTCTTTCTAAAGCCATGCAGAGATACTGCGGTAAATTTGCAAAAACTACCGATGCATACTATAGAACAGATCTTAGTAGGGAGAGTATCTTTTGAGGGAGTTTTTTGCTGTTTGCACCCTAACAGGAACGTGATTTTGTCTTAATCATTAGGTATAAAGTTAGTTCCTTAGCTCTATCTTGCTATACTCCCCGATGAAGTCTGAGTAATCAGACGAAACCGGTCGGAGGAATGAAACAAGTTAAAAAGATACTCGCGTTGCTTTGTGTTGCTCACTAAATTAAAGAGAACTGTATATGAAATAGTTCTGAGTGAGGGCTGGCCGGCATTTAGGAACTGCTGCAGCTTGACATTGTAACGTGTATGCCTGTTATGAATGTCTGATCTCTTGACAATTTATTGCTGAGCTAAGCCATTGATGGATTAATACAATAGGGAAACATCCCTGAACAGAAGGAGAACTGACACTGGCAAGAATTTACGCTGTTGGAATGTAGGAGTTATATGCCCAAAATTCTTTTTGCCAAATAAAATTCTGGCTTCATTGTTTTGAACTTATTGAAGCCTGGCAATGTGTCCTTACTTGTGCCTGCCCAAACCGAAAAACAATAGAATAATTTACTGAAAACATTTGCATTCACAGTACACATTAAGAAAGGGAAGTCCAACAGTTGGCGTATTCCACTCATCGCGATTGCGCAGAGTTTTCCAAAAAGATGCGAGACCATGGTCGTAAAACGACAGGTGCTTATCAATAACCACCCCAAATTTTTTACCTTGATCTATTGGGGCAAGGTCTTTACTTTGGAAAACAAGAACGGGTACTGACGTCCTTCTTAGCATTTGTGAATATCCGAAACACAGAACTTCGTTTTGACTGGGTTTATCAATAGATGGTTGGAGCAGCACCATGAAGCTACGCGTCGCAGATCATGTTGAAGAGCCTCGAGGCCGCCATCAGTCCCTTTGTTAGAAAAGGTTAGGTAGAGCTTAGAATGATCCACGTAAGACTCCATTTTACTAGTAGTGCTCGCAGACGGGATATCATTTGAGTACAAGTTAAACAATAACGGACCGAGGATCGAGCTCTGCGGTACTTCGTGCTTTATCACTAGTGGAAGTGGAAGTTTGTTGCTAATACGCTCACGTTATTGTCTGTTTAGCAGCAAACTAGTGAACCAATCAAAACGTTTCTGCAAAGAGTTTCCGATGTCGTCAAAGAATCACTAAGTGGCTGTGTTATAAAAACGTTTCAATTTAAAGAAGGAGAAACAGGTGGGTAATATGTTTCCAGAACAAATACCTGATTTCTATACAAATCAAAATAAAATAGCGATTTGCATATTTACTATAAAACCTAAAAAGTTGAAAGCTGAAACAGTGATTTTACCTTGAGAGCTGCTTGAAAAAACCACAGACGAAGGTGACTGCATTGGTGATGATGAAGGTGACCATGGCAATGGGTATTGTGTTAGCAATGATGGTAATAATGAAGATAATGAAGATGGTGATGACGGTGACTTTGATGGTGTATGCGAGGGTAAGGATAATGGTGATAATAGTGGTGGTGACGCTGACGTTGATGGTGATGATAGTGATGACGAAATTGATGGTATGGGTGGAAGTGATGATGATGGTGATGATGATAGTAATGATGATGGTGGAAGTGACGATGATGATGATGTTGATGATGGAGGTGATGATAATGGTGATGGTGATAGTGATGATGAAGGTACTGATGATGGTAATGGTGATGGAGAAAGTGATGATAATAATGGCAATGGTGATAATGGAAGTGATGATGATAGCGATGATGATAGTAATGATGATGGTAGAAGTGGTGATGATGGTGATGGTGATGGTGGGAGTAATGATGATTGTGATGATGATAGTGATGGTGATAGTGGAACTGATGATGCTAATGATGATGATGGCGATGATGGTGACGATGATGATCGTAATGGTGAAGGTGATGATGATGGTGATAGAGTTGATGATAATAAGAGGGATGATGAGGGTGATGGTGAAGCGCTTGTGTCACATCGTTCTCCGGTAAATCCTGTAGGGCAGGTGCATTGAAAGTTATTTGAGCCACTTCTACAAGTACCACCGTTCACACATGGTGTGGAGGAGCAATAGTCGACTAATGAAGGAAACAAAATATTTGAAAAACATGATATAACATATTGAAATAAACTCCAGCAAAAAATCGAGTTTTTTATAAGTGACGAGAAAAGTGATTTGTGGAAAAGAAGAATCATCTTTATTCCCTACCATCTGTACATTCATAACGGTTGCCGTTGTCTGCCAGATAACAGGTTTGACCATCGGGACAATTAGCACCAGCACATTTGTCACCTAAAGGAAAAAAACCTGAAGTTTATAACTATTCTATTATTATAACATCCATATAGCATCCACAGTTTTTTAGTGTCATTATTCATTCAAAGTATTTCTCCTTTTCTAATAGGTTTAAATCCCCCGACTAATTCATTAACATATAAATGTAGCCAGGGCTAAAAGCGAAGCTCCCATTAATAAATTTATAATTTAAATAAAAAAATAAACTTGTATTCCACAATTCAGTTAGCTTTAGACCAAATTCATGTGACGTTTGAGGGAAACGCTAAGAGATTTTAGAGAAAAATAATTTACAAACAGCCCAAGACTGAACGAAATCTTACATCGAGTTGATAGCCTCATATGTACACCCAAAAAACAGCAATCATCTTCGATCACATTTAAGAGCCATAATGGTTCTTGATCACCTTAGATTAATAAGGCCTGGAAAAAAAATCACTCCGAATTTTTTGCGTTCGAGAAGTTTACATTGCAAAATCATGCCAACAAACCTGGGTGCTTATAAACGAACTTTTTATACCATTTATACGTCACATCTGAGGTGAAACAGTTCTACGAGGCACTGTTTTTATCATACAGACCGTGGACAGAATATTGTGAATATTTCACAATTTTGCAATACAAATTGCACTTATTCAATATTTAGGACGATCAAAGCAAGCGTGGGCTTTTAGCCAAACCGTTAAAAACATTTCCAAAATCACCTATACGACCAGCCGGTTCCCACTTTTGAAGTGAAAGCTGTGGTCGAGTGTTTGAATGAACATTAATAGAGTTACGCTCTAACAGAATAAAGAATTTTTTGTTTATTTTTTATTTAATGGTGTTTTCGATGTGTAATATTCGTTCGATACGCGCGGCATTTTAAGTACTCCTGGAAGCGATGTTCACTGAACGAATGAAAACAAACGGCACAGCAATCAAAATTACAAGAGCGACTACTAACAATCAATAAAGCAAATATAATTCGGTGAAATATATACAGGGACAACAATTTTCATTCACGAAGACAAGTATTAAATTGTCTCTAAAAATCCTGAGTCTTCAAGGTTAAAGCTAAATTTTATGTTTTAAGCCGGCTTCTCGGTGTATGCTTTTTTCAAAGATGAACTCAAGGCAAGAAAATCGTTCAAAGCTTTCTTTTACAGCCAGAATTATAATTAAATATTATTTGAGACATTTCCTTTCTAGTTGCAGTGAGAAACTGTCCTAAGGCTTTTTAAAGTTCTGTAAGGTTATATCAAACCTGATACTCGGTCAGATCATTGTCTCAAATCTTACAAACGTGTAGAGCCGCATAAACCACACTCGACTTCATTAAATTAGAAATAAAAAACAAACATCAAACATAATAATTGCTCAAGCAGCTCTTGAAAGGTATCAAGTAAGGCCAGTATCCCTTGAAACTTTTAAACCCTCGTACGCATCAAGCAAGGTGAACAACGAAAACGATGCCATCAAATATCGGATTTCCGACTTGGACAAGTGACGTATTTCTCAACAAAAAAGCCAATAAACAAACTAGCCATTAATAACAGAGGACTCTTGATAGCAGCTGAATTTCATTTTTTATTATATACATACTGAGAAATACTCGCCAAAAAGCTATGTCGTAAACTTTCGTACGCAAATTAGTTCTAGCCAATCAGAGGAGTGAACGATGGTTTTCACACGTGAAAAATATGATACGTCCAATCAGAATCGCGAACGATGTTTTTTCACGTGTGAGAAAAATAATACGTCCAATCAGAAGCCACAGAGGTGTGTGAGTTTCGCGCCAAAATTCCCACCTTTTATTGCAGCTTGGAGCGCCGCTTCGCACACATTCAACGAGAAAAGTTTTACTCAAAGGGTTTTTCTCGCTTAAAAAGTGAAAAACATTTCGGAAATGGAGTGGAATAGTTTCGTTTAATTCACTGTCGATAAAGAAAACGGTAGAGAGCCGGTGAAACAACAGCCGAAAGGGAAAACAGAACGAGACGTAAGCTTTTGTTGTGCTTTTTGTCGTAGCTACCTTGCCTTTCATCTAAGCTTTAAGCTTATATTGAAACCGGCCATTTTACTTAAATTCACTCATTTTTAATTGTGCATTGATAACAATGATGAATGTCTCAGTATGTATATAATAAACACAATACCACATGGAAAGTGCTTTGTACGGTATTTACGCACTCGTTGTTTTTGTATCAGAAATCTCACTCGTTCGCTGCGCTCACTCGTTTGATTTCTGATACGTCAACAACTCGTGCGTAAATACCGTACGCCAGCACTTTCCATGAAGTATTCTCTATGTACATCCAGTGGAAAAAGACAGTTAAAAAAAGCACAAGCTGACACAAAACTTTGTCACTGGCTTCAGCTGTCAAAGTAAACAAGATTCAAGATGCTGCATAAATTTTCCTCATGACTCGCCCTTCAAATTTTGACCAATCAGAGCATAAAAACTGGAAGTAGAGCGTGACCAACGCGTGACCATGGTGAGCAAAGTCAAAAGTAGCTGTCTTGCCTTCCTTCAGAATTTTCGCGTCCGAGGCCAGTTTGAAATCAAAATTTTAATTGTGCGGCACATAAACACAACATATTTCATATGAATTTAAAGAAAACTTAAACGTGAGCCTGCGATCATTTAATAGGGTTTTTTTTTGAATGAGGGTATGGGCATGATTTTCAATTGAACATGTCTAGCGAGCGTAAAAATTGCGTTCAGTCTGAGGATTAATGAGAGGCGAAATTTCATATATTTAGGCATGACAAAATTCAAGGGACCATTGGTACTTAGAAATAACATCTCATGGGCATGGAAAGGCATAGGCATTATTTTAATGTTCACTCCAGCACTATATCATGACATTCGCATAATCGCCAAGTACATGTCAAGGGAGCTTGACTGACTATTACGGGTTTCATGCGTGGCAATAAATGCAGACTTTAACAAAAAATAGTTATTATATGTTTGTCATAATGTATGTCACGGGATCGACTGGCAAAACTGAAGACAGATCGCAGTTCTTGACCAAGGTGGATTTACTTAAAAAGGACAACATAAAAACATTTTTCATGCAAAAAATGCAGTACTTCACTTGCATTCAAAGATCAATTAATCCTTATATTTCAAACCGATAATATTTCTGGGTCCAGTTTTTAATTTGATTGCGGAAAAGAGTTTTAAACGCTTTGTACGTTTCATAACATAGTCTGGGAAAGCCAGACCACCATCATCATTAATTGCTTTGTGGAATTAGGTTAGCCCCGAGAATTCCATACTAAACATCCGAAGCTCAAAACAGGTGGAACTGTGCCGCGTTTCGAGCTAAATAGCACGGTAAAACAACTGCCCAGAAGTGAGAGTTTGCTCGAGAATCAGAAAATCATCTAAGCAGGTTTCACTTCGAGTCCGACGATTGGGATTTGAGAGCTACGACCTCGAATTAACCTTGTATTCAACCGGCTGCAGGTTGACACGTAAACCGGAAATGTGGAAAAACGGAAATATGAAAAGTTAAACCGGAAATGCGGGAATCCGGATCATCCCGAAATCGGCAAATCTCAATCAATCAGAAACCGAAGCCAAATCCAAAAACAAAAACAAAAAAAACATAGATAGTCGCATTCGTTTAGGGCATCTTTTCGAAGCTGAGACACGTAAAGATAAAACCTTCCAAATAAGCAAACCGTAGCTGTTTGATTTTCACTAAACTGAAACGCTATTCCACGATTGATTCCGTTTGGCAATAGGCTCCATAAGAAACAGTAAAATATATATAGATTTAGCCAGCGTTAAAAGCAAAGCTCTTGTATATACTTATAGTTTTCTCAAAAAGATAATGAAATCGTTTAATGCTAAAAAAAGCGACGGCAACGAAAAAAAGGCCAAAAAAGCAATACATAATAATGCATTTATTTGTACGTGCAGCACACTTTTTTGTACATTTCGTTGCCATTGTTTAGCACGACTACAACGTGAAACTTACTAGTTAGATGTTTTATGGAGAAAATGTTGTATATGCTCCTGTTCGCTTTTTTTTCTCTTTACTACCGCTTATTTTCACCTTGGTGGCCGCTAGAATTTCTCATTTTCTCACCGCCGCTATAAAAGTTTCATGTTTTTCTTCCAAAGAAATCCGTCTTCTTTGTTTTTTATCGCTCGCTCTAGCTCTTTCTCTGTTATCCACGTCAGTCTAGACAATAAAATTTAATCGAAAAACGAAAAAGAAACTCGGCTTTGTTGTTGTTTTTCCTCTGACTCTCTAAAAGTGCGTGTTACCATGCGATTTACCGCCAAAAAGCGCAGTGTTTTAAATGCGAAATTTCTCCCCAGCTTACGTGAAGGGGTGAATTCACGTACGTATGTGCGAAAAACGGATGGGTAGATGCGTAGATAGAATGCGTAGATAGCCAAATTTTCTTACCCATGGTGCGTCGAGAGAGCTCCGCTATCATTGACCAGTCAAAAACATGCAATGTAAGCTAACATATCACAATTGTGACTAATACTTCACATAAGATGCCTATATATCGGAACTGGCGAGATCTAGGAAACTGAGCCAGCTCGGTTTTCCGGGCTTATTTGTAGTATAGAGGCCCTTGAAAATCGCTTTTTAAAAGCCATCAGTTTCGTCTTATCGGGATTAAGCATCAAGCAATTATCGTTGTAAATCGGAATTAACACCTTCTCTAGCACTCTAGCAAGAGTAGAGTAATTAATAGTAAAAGACAGGAGAAGCTTGGTGTCATCCACGTAGCACTCGGTTGAGTAACGTTGACAGACATTTGGTAGGTCATTTACATAAATACTGAATAGTAATAAATGCTGCCAGAACGCCTCAATGCGCTATACCACTGACTACTCAGGGAGCGCTTACCATTTGTATGGAAAACCCGGAATTTCCGGGGAGAATTTAAATGGAACAGTCCATCTGGGTGGAAATTTTCCGGAAAGAAGTAATACCTTTCTAGGTATTACCTTTTTCCCGGTCTTACCGAAACGACCGAAATTAAATTTTCTGCACCATTTGTTTGGATTACCAGTGCCAGGCTTCATGTCAAGAGAAAGTGAAAAATTTACCGGTCTTTTGTAAATGGTACAACTCAATCCCGTTCCTGTTTTCGGTGCCAAAAAAAAACAGTACCATTTGACGGAAATTTTTCACCGAAATTTCCGTACAAATGGTAAGCGCTCCTGGTAATTTATTACATAAAACAGAGTTTATACGGACTGCTTGATATTTCTGAGAAAGAGAGCTTTCGAAAATTAGAGTCCAGAAGCTGATAACATTTAGTAGACAAATATATTAATCTTATGCTAAAAAACACAAAAGAATTACTGAAAATGTAACTTAATAGAAAACGTTTGATTATTAAATTTTGCGTGAATCATTATACTTAGACGTTATTTTTATCTGGTTGTATACTAGAAGACCTTTATTGTAAACAGACTGATACCTCCTTATTACTGTTATTGTTACCAACTTACTCACTCACTCACTCACTTACTAACTTACTCACTTAATCACCCACTCACTCATTAATTTTCTTACTTACTTTCTCACTTGATTAATTAATTGACCTAGAAATAAATTGAATTAATTACCTACTTACTTACCTTGTACCCCGTTGGTACAATAACGCCATCCATTACTGTTACACTCCCTTAATTTAACAAGCTTGTACAAGTAAAAAGCACCGCAGTNCTCACTTGATTAATTAATTGACCTAGAAATAAATTGAATTAATTACCTACTTACTTACCTTGTACCCCGTTGGTACAATAACGCCATCCATTACTGTTACACTCCCTTAATTTAACAAGCTTGTACAAGTAAAAAGCACCGCAGTTAACAACATCTATGGATTGGGGATTGTTGCAGGTATGACGCGCTGTACGGCCGCACACTTTCCTTTGGACAATGCCTTCACTTGGGATAGGGTGACTTTGAGCGAGGTAAACTTGGACTTTTGTTCCACAGTAGCCCTTTGCAGGGGCTGTTACAGCTGCTAACGCATTTCCAGCACCTCCTGACACTCTGTACCAAGATTCCCGCCCACCTTCAAGGTCGTCAGCGTCACATTTAATATCACTTGTGCTAGAACTCACTGTGCGATCGCTTTCAGTAAGATGTCTGTAATTATTATCGCTACAGGGGTCACCTCCTGGCAATGGAAGACAAAAACAGGTTGAGTTACTGAAAGAAAACAATGACTTCCAACTGCAAAATTAAAAATACTTTTAGTGGCCAAATACGGGAATTATGCATGTCTAATGTTGCAATTTAAGTATAAACTGCAACAACGGCAATCAAGCAAGGTCCCTGGGCCTGATTGGCTTAAGAGGCTCATCCTGACGTTCGGGATTTCCCGCTTTTCTCCAACTTGCAGCAACTGTAGCTTTTCACGAATGGTAAAAACCGAAAGCTGGGAAGCATGAATCCTGAAACACGTTATAGCTTGCCTCAGCTTTTGCGAAAATGAAGTCAGACAAGGAGGCAAGGTACAAACAACCACAGTCTAGACCTGGTTTTATGTTAGAGACGATAAATATTGTTGAAGATTTTGGAAACTTTGCTGTGCCGTGATACGAAATTGGCCGACATGTTTACATCAGAAGGTGAGTTCAAATACTGTATCTGAAGCCAGGAAAGAGTTCTTTATGTCTGATAAATATATTCTGGATATAAAATTTTCCAAATAGCGTATATGAAGCATCTGTGTATCACTGCAATACTTGAAATTGCCTAAATTACACGTATTCAAGCTGAATCATTTGCTGGAGAATTTATCTGTGTCGCGCCCAACCTCTTAACTGTCAAGTCAGAATGGTCAAATTACACTCAAGAGCTCCCCAAATTTCGCTTTCCCAAAAAATTATTTTATATTTTGTCCAAAGTCTTATTTTGAAAGCTCAGAGATTGTTTTAAACGCGAAATGTCTATTGCTTTCTGAAATGATGTGCCCATTTTAATTCAAGGCTTTCGATATTTGCTAATAAACATTGTGCTCGCGTAAAATCCTATAAATTTTGTAAATATTTAAAAATCTATAGAATAATCAAATTGCAATCCATTCAAGAACACGACCCCCAATATATGTATTAAAACCCCATTAATAAGATAAAACGCTTTCAGGGTTGAACGATATTAACCCGTTCTAGAGGCCCGAAAAAGTGGTCTGGTCGTAATCGCTCGAACTTGACTCTTGCCTTATTGCCAAAATATTTATTCCGATGAAACTGAAATTCATGGTTTCATTAATACAATACCTAGAGTAGTCTGCAATTTTAGGGCTACTTGTGTTGTTAACTTTGTATCTTAGTTTGTATCATTGTTTATATGATCGTGTTATACGTTTGTTGCTTTCAGAGTATGCGAATGGCATCCTCTCCTTATTTCCGGTTGGGCAGGAGGCGTGTGTATTTCCCTTGCCACCTAATTAATTGGATTAGAGAAGGGTTGCCCAATGATTATAAAGCTATTTCAATCTGTATTATTTGCCTTATTGTAACTCAATCCATGGGATATATTACATAACATGACTAAGGGCTTGGTTACCATGGTGGCATCGACCGTTAAAAATGGCAACGACCGTTTACGAAGGGAAATAAGCGTTTCCAGTACGGGATTTTCGGTTTTGGCCGCGCGAGTTTCCTCAAAAGTTCACTTACGTTCCACGGAAGGGCAAAAATTTTATTGGTAAATCATGAAACCTGATGTTAGCATCAAAGGTCGGTGCACGCACTCAGACATGACAGGCCAAGTGGGCGGTTTTCAAACTCCCGGGGTTTGTCTGCAGGCGTTTCCTTCCTTTCTTCCTCACCCCGTCTCGCTCCATTTTTCGCGCGGTCTTTGACTCCGGCTCCTTGTTCTTTGCTCCGAAACCTGCACGGAAAAGCTTCCTACGCAGGCTATGCCGTTTTGTTACTTTTGAATAAACATTTTGTTCGCAGTCTCCGTGCCTCACGTGGACGTAACACTAAATTACGGGCTCATATCTTATTCAGTTATGAATATCTAGTAAACTTTTCGATGTTAGTCGTTGCACCTCATGTATACGCTTTAACAATGAGCCCAAGGTGTCCCTAGCCATTTCGAACGACACTAACCGAAGACTAGACCAGACCAGACCTTTCCGGAAGCCTAAAAATGTCGAGGAAAAGAGGAACTGGTTAATCGAAAATTGTACCCCAAAGTCAACAAGTGCAGTGAAAAAGTAGTCTTTGAAAATATTGTTCTGGAATGGCCGAATGGTAGGTAGACACAAATCATCCAGTGCTCGAAGTCTTGAGTTCAACGTTTAGACACTGCTATAGCCAATATTACCACTGAGTGTGTCTGATTAAATTGGTGAAAAACAAAGTTTAATTTTGTGCAATAGTAAATTTACTGCGTGCGTTATTTTGAAAGAAAATTAAATATTTACCCAGAATTTGTTGTGAAAGTTGCTGTGCTGAAATTAATATTCATGAGTAACGTGCAGTGACATTACCACATACTAATAAGGGCTGGTTTTATCAGATATTGGCTGTGATCACATCTACGAAGGAACTAAAGTTTAACTTAAGTTAGTGTCAAGTTACGTGATGTCATACCTCACTGTAGTTAGTGCTTTCGGACGACATTGCGGTCACACCACGCAGTTAACAACAGTTAGTTCTAATTAACCTATGTACATTTTTTGTTTGTTGTTTTTGGTTTCCCCCTTGCTTCATGCTTGTTTTTTTTTTTTTTTCATATTTATATATGCTCATCTCGCACGTGCAAAAAGAAGTGTCACATTCTGATTGGTTGGTTGTTTGTAAACTTAAGACTAACCAACGAACCCTGCTTGGGTATAACTATAGTTAGTCTGTATTGCTTTGGATCACCTAGCCGTAAATTTCATAGTTAGAGCGAACAGAGAAGCGATCACATTACCGAAATTATAGCTAACTATAGTTATCCCCATCTTAACTATAGTTAGTAGCTCATATGTGACCGAAGCCATAATGATACTGCACGTGATGTATTATCGACCATTAATAGGGTAGGTCAATGGGGTTATGAATTATTAATAGCTTGTTTTAATAAATGAGAAAAATACAAAATGAACTGTAAAAGGTGCTACTTATCAGACAAATAGTTTTGCTTTGATAGAGTCAGATTGGGAGTTCAGTTTAGGTTTCTTTTCTTTTGTAAAAAAGCATTTCGAAAATTAAGCAATCCAGCATCCCACGACATTTCTTAAGCAGACTGTCCACCTAAATTCGGGACATTTTTTTAATTCGCCACTTCCACATTTTCCATAATACACCTTATTTGGCCTCCTAAAATTTTTCATAACCTTTGTTTTTCATTGCTCCTGGGTATTACGGCCGTCTTAAGAGAAATTGAAAACAATGCGTATGCAAAAATTTGGAGATCAAATAAGGTGCATTGTGGAAAATGTAAAAGTGGCATCTAACCTACCAATCACGTGAGCGCCGAGGATGCTAGAAAATTTTGAAATTTGGATGCTCTGAAACGCTATTCTTGTGGGCTGAGAGGGCGATTTCTTTTTATATATGTAAATCGATTGTTAGAATTGTGCCTATTTTTATTTGCGTGTTTTTGGCATACAAATACTCGATTTTGTTTCATATTTCAGGCGGTATATATATGTAAGATTTTTGAGTATCAGGTTCAGTTAAGTACACTCTGTTAGGTGTTCTTGTGTGTTTATCACAAGAATTTGTTTGAAATGTCAAAACAGGTTTCAAAATCGGGATTTTTCCTATCCCGATCGCATGTTAATCGGGATTCAGGATTTTCAAGCAAATTCGGGAGAATCCCGACAAGACTGGGATGGTTGGACAGTCTGCCCCAGTTCAGGATGGTAAATTGGTCACGTAGATCTTTATCCGTTTGATTGTGTACGTCGCGCAGGTGTTTGTCAATAGCCGAATGTTTATGTTTGTCAATACGTTAAAAAAGCTGTCGGCACCTTTTACACTTCATATTGTATTTTTCTCTTTTAATCACATGCAACTAAACTTTTGCACGCAACTCCCTATACTATGAACTCACGGAATAAAAAACTACACGAATTTGAAAATGATGACATGGAGTCATCTAAACCGGTCATTCATTGCTATCGCTAATTTTTATTCTCAAAATCGTATTGACCCGTTGAAATCTGTCATTATTTGAACAGAGTACAATGTCTTCAAACTGGCACAAAATTGTGACTATGAAAAAAGACAGTGCGCAGATAGCCAGTGTCCGTAAAGCGGGGTTGACGATATATGAGAGTTGGTGGTGAACTCCGGACGCAGAGAAGTGCCCGTTGTCTCTATTAATCGGAGGAAATAGCAATTAATTGCCTCTAATCTCTCGCGCTTGCCTATCATCGAAATATTGAAACGGACGGCAGAAATCCCTTATTCATCTAAATTCTAGCCAAGAGTGCAAAACCCTTGGCATTTGCATCCTTTCGTTCCCCAAAACGAGTCATTCAAGGCACCTTTAAGATTATATCCTCTCTCTCCTGATATTACTCGGCTTCAGACAGACTTTCCCTGTCAATTGAGTCGAACAATGCCCAGCATTGTAAATATCAGTTCCATTTCTCAGTGGCAACGAAGCAATAGGCTAACACAAGGGAAACATAATTTCAGCGATAGCAAATTAGTCTTCATGGCCTATAATACTATTCATGTTTATCTTAAGCGAACAGTCTGTGACAGTTTAATCCAGTTGTTCTGATCTTGAAATGGCGTTATGACGAAACAGAAACGCCGTTCGATTTTATCGATCTAACTTGACTATTACTTGCTAATTTAGAACCAAACCTTTACTTGTGTGGCCTAAACCACTGCTAAATACAATAGTTTTCGCCAATTTTTGATGCTTTAAAACTGAAGGGTTTAATATAAATACCTTTGACACAAAACCAGCAGAGAACACACAAGAAAACTGTTAAAATCTGTTGATACAATAACACGTTGACAAAATATAAATAATTGGAAAAAGGACATGGATTTCTAAAGAAATTTACTGTAAAGTTACCTCGTGCATGTTTTCCTGTTGATGGTAGAGGCTTAGTCTTGGCGGTAATAGATACAAAATAACAATTAATTTTTTTAGTAGATTTTCGAATTAAGTCGAGTTTTTTGTTATGTTAAAATGTCATTGCTGGAAC